CCAAATTAGAAATGGGTATCACAAAGATGATTTAAAAATCTCCAAACACTGGGAAACTAAACAACACACTTTTGAATAATCCATGGGTCTGAGAAGTCTCGAGAGAAAAAAAAAATACACTGAACTGAATGAAAATGGAAATACAGCATATGAAACGTTGTGGGACAAAGTTAAAGCAGTAGTGACAGGGAAATTTATAGCACTAAATGCTTACATTAGAAGGAAATACATAGATTGTCTAAGTTCTTCCTGAATGATAATACAAAAGGGCAATGATAGAGCAAGAATTGAGTTTTTGGGATTCAGACTCTATCCCATATGGACAATGTTACCAACTGGACCTGGGTACCATGCTACTTAGATATTCTGAATCTGCTCCTGTCCTGCACAGTTACTTTGCTTCATGCATGTTTTTCATCCTTGGTTAAGAATAAATCAGGAGCTATGTTAGAGTCTAGGGTAAGCTGCTGTAACAGGATATCCTAAAATATAGTTGCTTAAAATAGATGTATGTTTCCTTATCATCTAAAAGTCCAGTAATTGTTGGTTGGTCCAGGTAGGTGAGTCTATTCAGCTCCATGAGGTCATTTAGTGACCAAGGTTCCATTCATCTCTTTGCTGCACTAACCCTCTAAGGCAGGACTGTCCAGTAGAAATGTCTGTAGTGATGGAAATTTATTTGCACTGTCCAATATCATAGCCATTAGCACGTGTGAAGTTGGAGGCCTTAATTTTTAATTTTATATAATTTTAGTGAATTTAAAATTAAATGCACACTGGTGGTTACTGTCTACCACATTGGACATTACAGCTATGGATATTACTCTGTTCAGCAATACTGAAGCTGATTCACTACAACATTTGTTTCTAATCCACAGAAAGGTGAAACACTAGAAAGGGAGGGCAAGTAATATCTTTTTTGGCAAGTGAAAGTAAAATTACAACATCAATTCTACTCACGTTTCTTTGATGAAAACTTAGCCACTCTGTCGGGGTTTCCCAGTACCACCCTTGGGTTCAGTGATTTACTAGGGAGGGCTCACAGGACTCAGTGTGAATGAGTCACAGGACTCAGACTCATGGCTGTGATTTATTACAGCAAAAGGATGCAATGCAAACTCAGCAAAGGGAAGAGACACATGGGGTGAATTTTGGAGGAAATCAGGCACAAACTTCCAAGAGTCACTCCAGGGGAGTCACTCAGGATGTGCTTAATTCCTCCAGCAATGAGTTGTGACAACACATGTCTACCAGGGAAACTCATTAACAACTCAGTGCCAATAGTTTTTATTAGGATATCCTCTGCTTTGCACATATTAAAATTTCATATTCTCAGAAGGAAAGCACGTGGTTAGTATAAGCCATATGGTTTGTATAGTTTAGGCACTCTTACCATTAGGGAAAGTTTTAGATTGATGTAGGAAAGTGTTTACCAGTCAAGTTTCCAGATGCCAGCCAAAGGCCAAGCTTACAAGCAGGCTTTTCTAATGAGCCATGTGCTTTCCCAGCGTAGTCACACCTACCTGCAAAGGGGAATAGGAACTGTAGCCTCTCGATGGGGAGCCACAGGTCCAATTCAAACTCTATTACTCTAAAGAAGTGGAGAATAGATTTGAAAATAGATTTGAAAGGATAACGGAAAGTCTGGAATTTACACACTTTGTGACTTTACACAAGTTTCTTAGACTCCATGCTCCTTTGGTTAATATGTATGTCTCTGAAGTAATACATACGTTGAACCATGTGTGGCACACAGTAAATGCTCAGTGACACTTCTATTATCATTATTAATATTAGTCTATTCTTAGGACATGAGGCTTGGTTGTGGAAGTGATGACTTCCTTTCCATTCTTAACCCACCAGAAACTTGGAAGTTTTATTAGAAGTGGAATCTGGACCACTGCCTTCCTATCGGCTCTCTCTCTTACGGATTGTTGCCTATCACTTCTTGCTTTGAACTCTTACCTTGGGTTTCTCCTTCATCACTTCTCTGAATCTTCTTGTATTTTCAACCTCGCATTGTCCATTTTCCCCCAACAGTGAACATGAACCTCCCTGCATTCTTCAGAGCTGGCCTGGCCCAAGGCTGCCATATATTTGCTTTACCTTGGTGAATAAAACTTCTTCTGGGAAGCCTTTCCTGAACCCTCTACTTTCAGCTCTCCTATTGACTGTGTGCTGCCCCTGGTAGCTGGGTTAGTTTCCTAGGGCTTTTATAACAAAGTATCACAAACTGGATGGCTTGAAACAACAGGAATTTATTCTTTCACCGTTCTGGAGGCCAGATGTCTAAAATCCAGGTCTGAGCAGGGCCATGCTCTTTCTGAAGGCTTTAGGAGAGATCCTTGTCTTTTCGGCAATCCTCGGTTTACAGATTCATCTCTCCAATATATGCTTCCTTTATGCATGGACTTCTCCCCTGTGTGTCTCTTCTCTTCTTATAAGGCCCACCCTAATGACCTCATCTTATCTTGATTACATCTGCAAAGATCTTATTTCCAAGTAAGCTCACATTTGCAGGTACTGGGGGTTAAGACCTCAATAAATCTTTTTAGGGGACACAATTCATCTCATAACAATAGCACACACACTTAGCATAGAGCAGTTACTTCTTTGAATTGTTTTCTCTAGACTGTAAGCTCCTTGAGAACAGAGACCTACTCTGTTTTATTCATCATTATATCCCCAGGGCCCAGCAGAGAATTTGGCACATCACAGATACTTAAGAGAACATTTGAATAAATGAATAAATGAAAACTCTGAAATACAAAATTCTTTGTGTTTTACTCCTCCATCTAATCCCTACTTCTTTCCTCTCTCAAAGCCTTGGTGGCCTCTGATTCCTGAATCTTGGTCAGCAATCACCAAATCCTACTGAACTAGCTCCTAGCTATCTTTTGCAGATGGCTGTCATCACCTTCTCTTTTCTATCCATTACCACCAGCCTAATTCAGGATATTGTCATCTCTCCCCTGGACTAATGATGTTCCTCCAACATCCTCTTTCAGACCCTTTCCTATCCATTCTCCATACTGCAACTTGAGTGATCATATTAAAATGTAAATCTCATATGTCCTTCTACTACTTAAAATCTGTCAATACCTTCTTCTCTCATATGGCTTCTGATGCTGTCCATGATCTGGCCTCAGCCTCCCTCCCCAGTCTCTCAACTACCCTCCTTCTTGTTCTTTAAGCACTGGACATAATGTAATTCTCATCGTCTTAACTAGTTCTTTGTTGACTTTGGCACATGCTGTTCCCTTTGTCAGGAGTGCTCTTCCCATCCATCTTAGCCTAACTCCTACGTATCTTTTACATCTCATTCCAAACCTCTCCATCAGTTAAGACTCCATGAGTGCCCTCCCCAGGCTTAGGTTTCCCTGCTGTTGGTGCCTCCTGAATAGGTTCTCAGCAGACTTCACATTTCTCTTTTGCAAACCTCCTCATACTTTACAATCTTTGTTCATTGTCTGTCTTCCATACTACATGAGGGCTGGGGCTGTGTCTAGCTTGTTCATCTCTGCATCCCCAACATTGCCTGACTTATATATGGGCTTAACACATTTTTGTTTGAGGAATGGATGCATTGGTGAACTGTTATGTTTCTTTTGGCTGCCACTTTGGTAAACCTGCTTGTGATGCATGGTTGCTAGAAATTAGAATATGTGGCTCTTTTCTTGCTTGCCTCCTCTCAGTTCTTGCTTCTGTGGACCTTCCCTTGCTCAGCAGAATTCCTCCCCTGGAGGAAGAAGTCTATGGTGACCAGAGTGAGGAAAGCTTTATTAGAAGACAGAACTTTCGGGGCGCCTGGGTGGCTCAGTTGGTTGAGCGACTGCCTTCGGCTCGGGTCATGGTCCCGGAGTCCTGGGATCGAGTCCCACATTGGGCTCCCTGCTCGGCGGGGAGCCTGTTTCTCCCTCTGACCCTCTTCCCTCTCATGCTGTTTCTCTCTCTCTAGCTCTCTAATAAATAAATAAATAAAATCTTTAAAAAAAAAAGAAGACAGAACTTTCATATTGCTGGGGCTGAAAGGGGGAAATCTTTACCAAATTCCCAGCACGGTGTTGAGGTGGGATAGAGGGGCTGTGTGTGGTTACTCAGATTGCCTCTCTTACCACAAAGAATATTGCTGGTGGGAAAGGAAATGGATGGATGTATATATATATATACTGATTATTCATTGCCTCCTCTAGTTCTTAGAATGTTTCTTCCTAACTCTTGCTATTTTTCTTGAAGATGAAGATGCATATAGACACAGTATTTGTAATTTCTCCACTCATTGACCAACAGTATATGTCCCCCCAAATTGAAGTGTCTTATGTTTGGTCATCTATGTATATGGTTTCTTCATTTAACAAATGTTTACTGGGCCATGGGCTCAGGATGCAGAGATGAATATAATAGAGTCTGCCTTCTGGAAGAAAGAAGGCTGGCTGGAAAGAAATGCCATGTGGTGCAATGTGGTAGGTGCTATGATAGACAGGTATGTGTAATGTTGAAGGGACCCAGCGGGGGGAGGCAGAACTTCTAGATATTGTTTGGAAGTGCACATTGCTAGGTCTTATACAAGCGGTTATGTTATTTCAAAGGCTTTTGATCACATCTAAATGTATTCCCTGTATTAACATGTTGGGATTTTCTACATCTTTGAAAAGGTTTCCTGGGAAGCAGTGGGACCTAAAGGTTAAGAGTCGGGGGCCTGGAGGCAATTAGACCTGGATTTAAAATCTGGGCCTGTGCCTGACCTTCCAGCTGGGTGACTTGGGGAAATCCCTTACTCTCCCACCTCCATAAAAGAGTGTACAAGGGCAGGGATTAAATATCATAGATACAACACATACAGCACATGCCTGCCATGCAGTAGGTGTTCCATTCTATTTTTCCCCGGGTGACTGCAGCTCTTTTTGGCTCGTAGTAGTGCTGGTGACAGAAGCTTGTTTATGTTAAAAATTTCACGGGACACACAGAGGCTTAGTTGGCTGATTTTTTTTTTTTTTTAGAAAGGTGTTTATTGGTATAAAAACAATTTAAACATTATATAAATACAATATAAATATTTCTTTTAAAAATATGCATAAGTTAGCCATGTATTTGAGGTAAACCTACACATTCCAAGAAATGACCCGGCTCTGAAACATCAAGGATATTCAAGCCGCATAGCATTTTATGTTAACTTTTTCAAGATGAATACATAAAATATTTCAAGTGGCACTTCATAAAAAATATAAATATCTATTACTTATATAAATTAACTCAACATCATATATTTAAATATCAATAAATTAAAAATAATTAAAATAGTGTCCTAACGCTCATACTTTTAGTTCTTCACAGAGAACAACATAAGTTATGTGCCCAATGGACAGGTTTCCGACCAGAGAAAGGAATGCCCATGAACTACAGCAATCTTAGATGCCCAGGCTACATGATCCGAACAGCCCTCAGGCTGAACTGCAGGAAATCCTCAAGGCTCCGCAGGATGAGGTGAATTGTTGTGTGCTTCAGCCACTCGTCCTGCGCCTTCAGGATAGCCTGCAGGCTGGTGTCTGTGGTGGGGTCAGGGGTGGTCACTTCATCCTGACTCTTTACCTGAGGGGAAAAAAAAGCAGAAAGAACTATTTAAATATTGAACAAATCGGGTGCCTGGGTGGCTCAGATGGTTAAGCATCTGCCTTCGGCTCAGGTCATGATCCCAGGGTCCTGGGATCGAGTCCTGCATCGGGCTCCCTGCTCAGCGGGGAGCCTGCTTCTCCCTTTGCCTCTCTCTCTCTCTGTCTGTCTCTTATGAATAAATAAATAAAATCTTTAAAAAAAAATACTGAACAAATCCTTTGCAGTGGAGGGATGCTCTGGGCTGTGGGAGACATTCAAATTCGGGGTGAAGGAGACTACTTGGAGCTGCCTGCCCTGACTCACCCAGGTAGGGTGAGGCGCCTCTCCTCCGAGCCCACCCGAGCCCACCCTGTGTGCAGGCCTTTCACGGCAACTGAATTCTAATCACCTTTTTGCTGCTCTATCTCTTTTAGACCACGAGCATGTCGAGGGCAGCTGTGGTATCTTGTCTTCCCTTATGCTAACCAGTGCCTGGCACATAGCCCCATCCAGCTGGCGTCTACTGAGGGCCCACTGATCTGATGAGGTGTAAGGAGGACCAGGAAACACCTTTCCACAGACCCACTGACATGAGTCTAGGTAATTGTGGGAGGCCTTGCACCTCCAAAGTGTGCTTCTGGAGCACTGCAGCATTGGCATCACCGGGAGCTTCTTAGGGGTGTGACTCTCCGGTCTCACCCCAGACCTGCTGGATCAGACTCTGCACTGTGACGAGATCCCCGGAGGTTTGGTGTGATTTTAAAGTGGGAAAAGCCCTGGTTTAAGGCAGACGGCCAAGAGACGTAGTGGCAGTATCAACACCAATGTGCCTGCTTCTCTGTCTGGGGACCTTCTCATCGGGCTCTGTTCAGCTCACCCACACGCTGTGCCTTCAAGCCTCCATTCTGTGGCATTTGAATGGCTAGCTGGTAGTGACCAAAGCCTTCGGTACCTGCTCTTCTAGCCTTTTACCATTTCTCAGCATTAACTCTTCTGTCAAAAAGTAGGGGGAAAGAGTTGAAAATACCACAATGGCAAGAATATCATTTGGCAGTAATTAAAATACTAAAATAATTTTTGTGCTCTGTGTTCTTTTTTATTATGGATCACTGAGCAGGATTGGATGTGCTTCCTTCTGCCTCTGCAGATTTTTTTTCCTATTTCTTAAGCTATTCTAGTAGAAGATGATGTTAAAATCCACCTCATTTAATATAGTTTTAAATACAGTTAATGATGTCTTTTGCAGAAGAGAGCCAAAAGAAAAAAAAAAAAGGTTTCAACTAATGGGAACTATTTGTTAGATCCTTTCCTTCACATGTGGCTATTCTCTTTTGAACGGGCTCTGCACTCCCAAGTTGTCTAGGTTCCTTTCTTTGAGCTTGTCTTCCTCGCACCAGGGGAGGGGATGAGGAAATGCTCACCTTTCTCATCAGCATCTGGAGCAGGAGTTTGGTACTGATGTACACAGAGTTGGCATTTTCCTTATTACCCTCATAGTTGGCCTGGATGTATTTCAGGTGTATCTGAAACTCCAGAAGACCAGTAGTGATTCTTGTCAGGCAGGTCTCCTAAGAGGAAAGATGGGGAAATTGGTTATTTCTAGAAAGATATAATCAATTTTAAAAGCTAAAATTGCTAGAAGTCAGCACCTTCTCCCTCTGCCCTTCCAGGGAACTTAAAATATTTCTGAGCATTATATTTTGAGACATCAGACAGCCTCAGATGGCCCCTTTTTAAATTATCCGGACAGAGACATCAGTTAATCAGTTTTACCCAAAGCCTGAATAGATGCTGGGATGTGGCAAGGGGGTCCTTCTCTGATTCTCCCCTTAATATTCTCCCTTCTGGCCGTACTCCTACCCTTGTCGATACTGGACTGAAACCTCTTTTTATGGACTGTTCTGAAGTCAGTTCAGCATATCCCATGGTCTGGAAGGAGAAGGGTGTAGAGAATGACCTCTACAGGAAGGGCAGACCTGGATCCTGCTAAGGGCAGCCAAGGAGAAGGACCACCTTATCCAGGATGAATGAGCTAAACCTGATGGGGTTTCTAACATTTGACAGTTGTGAAAATCCCAACACAGAAGGGCTACCTCTAATCACGCCATTCAAAAATAAGTTGCCTTAGAAAGATTTAAGTTGGCCTCCTCATGAAATTTACGTGATGTTCTTTACATTGATCCCCTTCTTTGTTTTCTGTCTGGTCTATATGTATACAGACACTGCATATAAGAGGGAGAACTTTTGACTAAGGAGTAGCTAAAAGTAAATGTGATGTGTTCGTACCTGGTTGAACCCAGATTGGAAGCATCCGTCCTTTTCTGCCAGTTTTGGAAGATGTAGGTTGTTTTCTGCCAGTGCCTCCTTGCTGTCTTCGCACTTGTTATACTTGTCACACATCTGGGAAGGAATATCAGAACTGTTATCATGTAAGTGCCCCTTAAAACAAACACCACTAGGGGGCCGATTCATGTTTTACCGTGGCAGGAAGTTCTCTAAGAAAATGAAGTCACACCGCATTAGCATCCAAGCAAGCAAGGTCTAGTGAAGATGGGCACACTTGGGTTCGATGCTGGGCTTACCTATGACTTCACATCTGTTACCTGTCCTGAGTCTCTGTGTCCCTACCTCTTCAAATTGGGGATAATGAAACTCCTCCCTTCTAAGTTTTTATTTGTGAAGATGAGACATAATATTTATGTAAAGTGTGTGGCACCTAGTAGGTACTTGATAAGTGACAGTAATTTTGATGATAATTGGGTGAATATAATTTGAGCTATATAATGTTCCAGCTAGAAGGACCTATGAGGATCTAGTCCAATTCCATCATTTTAGAGAGGGGGCCCAGAGATGGTAGGGAATTTGCCAAAGATCACAAAGCTGGTTCAGCAGAACCAGAACTAGATTTGGTTCGGGCTCCCAATACTCTCTCCTGTGTTCTTTCCTTTCAGCTGAACAGCCAAATTACCTTACGTTTAAAGCTTTGGAGCTGCATTAACCTATCTATGATTTTGCCACTTGGGTGGGCTACCACATATGCATCTTATATGCTGGCATGACTCTAGGGAGTCCCTAACCACTGGACTTCCATAACCTAAAAGTTCTGCGATTGTCCTGAGAAGCTCAACATTTATTCCAGGTGGCACTTTGCTTATCCTTCCAAAGTCCAAGAGACACAAAGAAGATTGATAGACCTTATTTTTTTGGTTAGAGATAAGGAAGTCCTGAGAGTCAGTGACGCCCAGTTCCTGCCAAGTCTGGAGCTGGGAATGGGCCAGGGGGCATGGATTTCAGCCCCATTGTATATTTTCCAGGAGGGAAAGGAGAGACCAGCAGCAGAAGAGAAGTACAGTAGACAGTCTGCCCCTTTGGCCTGAAATCTGTACTGCCCCGGAACCCAGCAAAGACCTCCCAGTGCAGGAGCCCTTGTCCACATCCAGGGGCCAGGAGATGAATGCCCACACAGGCCCTTTATCACCCTCAGTTGAGCCTACCCACCTCCTTTCTCAGTGCAGAGATTTTGCCGAGGATATACTTAATGAATTCTTCCATTTTGTCTGGAGAGGTGAGTGGTGGTCTATTTGAGGTGGCATCAGCTTGGGACTCTCCTCCCACAGGTCCCGGGGTAGGGAAAGCAGTAGCCATCACCAGGAGCAGCCCCAGGGAGAAGGCGACTGGACTGAAAGCGCCTGTGCGGGAGGCAAGGGAGAGCAGCCAGTGAGCAGACTGCACAGCTGGGGGAGCTGTGCTTCTGGCTGCTGGCTGCCGGCCAGCCCTCCCAGCGGACACACACCCCTCCCTCAGCCAGGCCCGGCTGCCAGGCGGTTCCAGGGCTAGGGATTTCCTTCACTTACTTGCGGAGAGGGAGTTCATAGCTGGGGTCCTGGAGGGCAGATGGAGCTCTCTTGCGTTCCTGGTGGGCTCGAGGGCAGAATGAGCCTCAGACATCCCCAGTCTCATATTTATTGGGGGTTGAGACTCTAATATTGAGACTCATGGGAAAATCCCACATTTGATAAATCTTTGTTGGAGGGTGGGGGTGGGGCCAGAGCGGGTGGGGCTGATTGGAAACCTTATTAAGATTGTGCAATGTGACGTCCTTTAGCATCACAGGAATCACAACCAGGGGAAAAAGTGCCGCTTAGGTCATTACAAAGGCTAGCGCTACGAAGCAGGCTCACTCTTCCTTTACTTTCTTTTCTGCTTTTACATTTTTAAAAATTTATTTATTTATTTATTTTATTTTTTTTTTTTAGTGACTCAGCATTTTGGCATGTCTTAAGAGGGAAAGTAAAGCTGAAGTCATGCATGAAGTTTTGGGGGGGGAGGGCGGGCAGGGCGAGAAGCTAAGGCTGACTATGATTAAAAAAATACTTTAATTACCAGATTAACAGGCTAGGATTTAGTATTCCAGTTAATTCATATTTGTAAAAAAACCGAAGATGTTTTGACTGAGCGTCCTCAGACCACAACACAGCCCACTAGCCTGGGGTTACAAGTAAGATGCCACTAAGAACCATCTGCAGGACTTCCCTTTCCTGGCTGTCTCCGCAACGAGCTGTTGCAGAACTGCCCGACTGCCCCCAGATCTTGCACAGTTGTCTCGAGGAGTCTCCAGGCACAGCGTGCGGTGCTCACGTACGTGACTCCTTTGTGCCACCGTGTGGCATCTGCCAGTCTCTTTCTCACCTCTACTAGCCCACTTCCGCCAGGTCAGCCTCAGCCCTGCTCTCTCCCTGGGGCCCCCAGTTAAGGCTTGGATCTCTGTGCCAAGGGGTTTGTCTTGTGTGCCTGGCGCTGTCCCCACCACTGGCAACAGGGTGATCCTGCTCCTGAGGGGAGCCCTGAGGGGCCCAGGCGGGTACTGTCTCTGCTGGAGCCCTCAAGTTAGTGACACCCGCTTGGTTCAGGGCAGAAGTGGAGAGAATACCACTTACCTCTTTGATGGGATGTCAAAGAACCTTGTGACATTTTCTAGAGCTTGTGTTCATAGCTCCCTTCTGCTGTATGACTTGTCTTGAGTTCAGAGGCAGCGGGGAAGAAATTTCCTAACACCGACAAGGCTCTAAGGTTCTGAATCACACCTGCCCAAGGTTTTCTTATTGGGTTGAGCCTGCGCAGCTTGTACAGGTTCCCTCTGCCTTTTAATGACGTCTCTTGCAGGAGGGTCCTTGGTCTCATGCAAATGGGCTCTAGCCCAAGCTTCCCTACCGGTCTCCCAGACACCCAGGCAGCTCACAAGATTGGCTCCAGTCTGAAACCAGGACCTTGTACAGCATCAAAAAAAAAAAAGAAAGGAAGGAAGGAAGAGAGGAAGGAAGGAAGGAAGGAAGGAAGGAAGAAAGGAAGAAAGGAAGAAAGGAAGAAAGAAAGAAAGAAAGAAAGAAAGAAAGAAAGAAAGAGAAAGAAAAAGATTTACAAAACACTGTGTTATCACGATCAGCTTCTTTGGTTTGCAAAGATCTCATCAGGATTGCGAAAACAAGAACCTTTGCTAGGGTATTTAAAATATGAACCGATTTACTCAAGTTTTGTTTTGTGAATAACACTTTAGGACTCGCCTGTTGGGGAAAGTGAGGTCATCCATTCTTTCACTGACTTTCTAAAGAGACGCAGATCCTATAGCAGTAGTGGGGTTTTTTCTTTGAAAATGAAAATGGGAGAGGATCCTTGAATGTTTTCGCTTTTACTGTTCTTGGGTCTTGAGCAACTCAGACACCCCCAGCCGAGTCCTCTCTCCTGCACTGAATGAAGCCACCTCTCCTGGCCCCTGTGTGATACATGCAATAGGCCTCTGTCATGTGGGATTGCTTTTTCTCATATATCTATGTTTTTGAAAATATGACTCAGTAAATTTCAAATACTTAGTGACTCAACAACTTACAGACTTTTCTTTTCAGTTGAAGTTTTTAAAGGGGCGTCTGGGTGGCTCAGTTGGTTAAGCGTCTGCCTTCAGCTCAGGTCATGATCCCAGGGTCCTGGGATTGAGCCCTGCATTGGGCTCCCTGCTCAGCGGGGACTCTGCCTCTCCTTCTCCCACTCCCCACTGCTTGTGTTCTCTCTCTCTCTGTCCAATAAATAAAATCTTTAAAAAAAAAAAAAAAGGTTTTAAAGTAGGAAGTACACGTATCATGATAAAATGTTTGAACAGGGCATCCAGACATACAGGGAAAAGTAAATCTCCTTCCTTTCCAGCTCCTCTCCTTAGAGGTAGCCCCTGACCCATAGTATTTTCTTTTCTTTCTTTTTTTTTTTTTTTAAGATTTTACTTATGTATTTGAGAGAGAGAGCACGAGAGCACGTGTGCGCGCTTGCGTGAGTGAGAGCAGGGGGTGGGGCAGAGGGAGAGGGAGAGAGAGAATCTCAAGCAAACTCCACTGAGTGGGGAGCCCCACATGAAGCTTGATCTCAGGACCCTGAGATCATGACCTGAGCCAAAGTCAAGAGTCAGACGCTTAGGGCGCCTGGGTGGCTCAGTTGGTTAAGTGACTGCCTTCGGCTCAGGTCATGATCCTGGAGTCCCAGGATCGAGTCCCGCAT